CGCCAAAAAAAAGGTACTGTCTTATTTCAAAGGACATAATTGGGCACACCTAAGCAAAACCTAAGTCCAGCAAGTAGCTCAAGGCTGGACATCTGGGATTCACTCACGATCTTTTGGGCTCCATAGAGTTCTGACAGCTCCACTCCTTCGACTCTGCCATTCACAGCTCACATAGCTCATCTTGCAGACCCAGTCCAGCTCCATTCCACACCTACCACTGTCCTTGGTGGTCAGCCCACGGTCCTGGCATCTCCACTGAAACTGAGGCTGCACCTTCACCAATGGCCTTTTCTGCCCTCTTGGGGGGTGCATCTCAGATTCTCTCCATGACTCCTTCAATCCTGGGGTCTTCACTGCAACTGAGTCTGCACTTTCACCAATGGCTTTTCTTGGCCTCTCAGAGTGCCAAGCCTCAGCTGCTCTCTGTGATCCCTTCACACTTTCAACACCAGAACCATGCAGGAGACTCTTACACATTACCAAGTCCTGCTTCCGGCTTGAAATAGAGGTGCAGGTCCCCTCTGTGTGCTGACCCTGAGGAAATACCTCCCAGAAGACTCCACCACAGTGGTGCTGGTCTCTTGTTACTTATAGCTGATTTTTCAGCCCCAGCTAACCAGCATCATTTGTCCCAGTAAAGCAAAGGTTTTATTTCAGGTTCTGGTCTCTTCTTAATAACAGATGATTTTTCAGCCCCACCCGACCAGAACCCAATCCAAAATCTCACATGAACAGCCCTGATCATCTCTGCTTCCCTTTGAAGCTTCACAAGCCAGGCCTCCATCGTCTACAACTCTTTCAGCATAACTGTTCCAAGCTCCACTGTAACAAACTCTGAGCACACAATGGCTTTTCCAGCCCAAAGTTCCAAATGTTTCCACAGTCCTCCCCAAAACACCAAGGTCAGTCTGTCACAGCAATATCCTTTTCTCTCTTAGCAGCTTGTCCTGGTTTGTTTCTTCATTGCTGTGACAAAACACTCTGACAACTACCAACTTGGGGAGGAGAGGGTTTATTTATCTTACATCTCCTGGGTCACAGTTCATCAGGGAGCCCAAGGTAGGAACTCAGGGCAGGAACCTGGAAGCAGGAGCTGGAGCACAGGCCATGGAGGAACACAGCTTACTGACTTGCTCCCCTGGCCCCTGCTCAGCCTGCTTTCTTATACAACACAGGCCCACCTGCCCAGGGGTGGCACCACCCACAGTGGGCTGGGCTCTCCCACATCACTCATCAAGAAGATGCCCCTCAGACATGGCCACAGGCCAGTCCAATAGAGGAAATTCCCCAATTGAGGCTCCCTCAACCCAGGTGTGTCAAGTTGACACTAAAGCTATCCAGCACAGTAGGTAATCCTGGTTTCAGGGTGTCTAGGCATTGGTAGGTAATCCTGGAGTCTCTCTTTCTGTGACAAGTCCTTGTTTGGGTGGGTCCTGAGGGCAGAAGCTCTTCACACTGCCTTGTCAAAGCTTCTAAGACCCAAGCCTTTATCACCTCTGTGAGCCCTGCCTTTGCCACTAAGGAGTTGTGTGTCCCTAGCCAACAGGCCATTAGGTTAGCAGTTGTATAACTGGAATGCAGTTACATGACATTGGAGTGAACGCTGAATCTCATGTTTCCTTACAGACAGAACCTCCACTGAACACTCCAGAAAACAGAGAATACCTTGCAGAAATCATGTTTGAGTCGTTTAATGTGCCAGGACTGTACATCGCAGTTCAGGTAAAAGAACTTAACACCTTGGTAACTGATGGCAAGAAGTGCAGGTCCCAGGTCATCCCGAGACTGGGCTGGCGTCCCTCTTCCTCCCTGAGTGCATGGCTCCAAGTTGGTCAGGCTTGAGCCAGAGCACAGAGAGCCTGGTCTGTGACCTTTATCTTCCTTCACTGATTGGTCTGCTCCATTTTCCATGCAGCATCCAGTGTGATTTTCTCTGGGTGACAAGGTAGGGGTGTGGGTGTGGTTCATTTTTTAGCTTCTTATTTTTGGCCAGAAAAGAAAACAAAAAATACCCAAACCAAGGAGCATTGGAGTCCATTGGAAAACAAAGTAAGCCAGGAAGGGTGCCTCACACCTGTGATCCTACCACTTGGGAGGCTGAGGCAGGATGAGCTAGGCCAGCTTGGGCTACATAGTGTGTTCTGGGCCAGCCTGGGCTACAGAGTGAGATCCTGTCTCAAAAAAACAAAAGGCAACCAAAACCCAAAGCAAAATAAATGTGTTTGGGGGTCCTCTGTTGATGAAGCTGCTGGTCTCACACGCCCTTGTTTCTGAGGGGCCCTGAGTGTTCAGGGGTGAGCAGAAGCCATTTTGAAGCCTCTTTTTCTTGGCCTACGGGTTTGATTTTGCTTTGGTGATTACGTACATTTCCTGCATAATATTACTCCCTTCTGAGGAAGAGGAGTTCCATGGAAAAACACGTTTTGAGGGTACTGTGTGCTGTTGCCTCCTCATGGTGAGTCATAGTGCCTGTCAGCATGGGTACAGCTCTGAGAATTTCCCTGCTGAAGGAATCTATTAATTTTATCCTCCCTCAAGATAATTAGAATAGGAGACACTTAAGAAAACATGCAACTGACTTTTTTCGGGGGAGGGAGAGGATAAATCCTACATAGGCCAATCTGGTCTCAAACTCATGGCCGCCCTCCTGCCTCAGCCTCTTGAGTGCTGTGATTGCAGATGCTATCACATCTCATGAGGGCTAATGGCTCCTAAGATGCCTGTGTTCCAAGTTCTCTTAGAACATGGTTTTGGGAATTTCAAATTCCTGTGCTCCATCTTGGCCTGGCTTTGGGCTGGACGGTTCCTTGCTGCAGGGTGCTCTCTGCATTGCAGCTCACAGAGCAGCACCCCACCTGCCTGCCACCATCAGCCACCCCTCCGACACATGTGAGCACTGGTGGCAGAGGTGGCCAGATGTTCCCCAGCTAGCAGAGCTGCCTGTGGCTGAAGGCTATGGTTAGAACCACTGTCTTGCACCTCTCAGGATTTCTGGATGGGAGGCCTAGCGTCCTTCTAAAAACTGTACGGACTTGGGGTGTGGCTCAGCTGCTAGTGCTCGTTCATCATGCACAAAGCCCAGGGTTTGGTCCCTGCACCGCATAAGCCTGGTGTGGTGGTGCATGTCTCTAATCCTAGCACTCTGGAGTTGGAGACAGGAGGATCAGGAGTTCAAGGTCATCCTTGGCTACACAGTGCGCTTGAGGCCAGCCTGGGCTTCCTGAGACGCTTTCTCAAACAAACAAATCTAAAAGTCAACCCCCCCCCCAAAAAAAAACTCCTTCAGTGATTTTGGTCCCACAAAGAGCCCAGTGCCGTGATCTCTGTGTTCAGAGAACGTCGCCCAGTGCCGTGGTCTCTGTGTCTTCAGAGAACGTCACCCAGTGCCGTGATCTCTGTGTTCAGAGAACGTCGCCCAGTGCTCTGTGTCTTCAGTGACGTCGCTCAGTGCCGTGATCTCTGTGTCTTCAGTGACGTCGCCCAGTGCCGTGATCTCTGTGTCTTCAGAGACGTCACCCAGTGCCGTGGTCTCTGTGTTCAGAGAACGTCGCCCAGTGCCGTGGTCTCTGTGTCTTCAGAGAACGTTGCTCAGTGCCGTGATCTCTGTGTTCAGAGAACGTCGCCCAGTGCCGTGGTCTCTGTGTCTTCAGTGACGTCGCTCAGTGCCGTGATCTCTGTGTTCAGAGAACGTCGCCCAGTGCCGTGGTCTCTGTGTCTTCAGAGAACGTCACCCAGTGCCGTGATCTCTGTGTTCAGAGAACGTCGCCCAGTGCCGTGGTCTCTGTGTCTTCAGAGAACGTCACCCAGTGCCGTGATCTCTGTGTTCAGAGAACGTCGCCCAGTGCCGTGGTCTCTGTGTCTTCAGAGAACGTCACCCAGTGCCGTGATCTCTGTGTTCAGAGAACGTCGCCCAGTGCCGTGGTCTCTGTGTCTTCAGAGAACGTCACCCAGTGCCGTGATCTCTGTGTTCAGAGAACGTCGCCCAGTGCCGTGGTCTCTGTGTCTTCAGAGAACGTCACCCAGTGCCGTGATCTCTGTGTTCAGAGAACGTCGCCCAGTGCCGTGGTCTCTGTGTCTTCAGTGACGTCGCTCAGTGCCGTGATCTCTGTGTTCAGAGAACGTCGCCCAGTGCCGTGGTCTCTGTGTCTTCAGAGAACGTCACCCAGTGCCGTGATCTCTGTGTTCAGAGAACGTCGCCCAGTGCCGTGGTCTCTGTGTCTTCAGAGAACGTCACCCAGTGCCGTGATCTCGAACGTTGCTCAGTGCCGTGATCTCTGTGTTCAGAGACGTCGCCCAGTGCCGTGGTCTCTGTGTCTTCAGAGAACGTTGCTCAGTGCCGTGATCTCTGTGTCTCTCTAGGCAGTGCTGGCTCTGGCGGCTTCCTGGACATCCCGGCAGGTTGGCGAGCGCACGCTGACGGGAATAGTCATAGACAGTGGAGATGGTGTCACCCACGTTATCCCAGTGGTAAGTACCGTGATTCCTGTTTCACTCTCTGCTGCTCAACACCTGATTTGAGGCAAAAGAAGAAATTTAAAAGGCAAAACAAAACTCTACACCCTCTGTAATTAAAATACCTCCTCTAACTGACATACTTAGAATTGGTAACAAGAATTTAAAAAGCCTAGGACTGTGGGAAAGAGTACAGAAGAAGGCCAGTGTTTGTAACTTTGGCAGTTTTCAAATTGTGGTAGCGAATTCTGTGGTCAGATAACTTTTAGCAGCCTCGGTGGGTTCCCGTGGGTGTAGTCTCCGTGCCCTGGCTCATCATCTGAGCTGCTGCAGGTGGACATCCTTCTGGCGTCAGACTCACAGGTACAGAGCATACCCAGCTGAAAGGCTCTAATCAGATGATGCTTCCAAGAGCGTGTCTTGTTTTCAAAATTTATTTAAAAGTCATGAAGGGAGTGCACATTTTGTGGGAGTCCTTACAATACCGCTTGCTAATTTAAAAGTATTTTATTTATTATTTTTATTTTATGTGTGTGGGTATATTGCCTACACGTAGGTAGGTGCACCTGTGTTGTGCAGTGCCTGCAGAGGTCAGAAGAGGACGTCAGATCATATGGAACTGGAGTTACGGATGGTTATTACACACCCTGTGGGTGCTGGGAATCGAACCTGGGTCCTCTACTAGAGCAGTCAGTGCTCTTAACTGCTGAGTCATCTCTCCAGCTCCCCCACTGGTTAAATTTTAATTTTTTAAAACATTAGTGACATGACTCCCTCATTCAGATTTTAGGAGGCCTTTGCATCTTTCTTTTGGTCCAGGGGATTATTTCATGGAATTATTTAAAATTTATTCTTTTGAAAATCAGCAATCATTCCTGCTCATCCTCCAGTTCCTCAGTAACCATAGCTGCAGTGATAATGACAAATACTTATGGTAACCACAGACACACACACACACACACACATACACACACACACACACATGCACTCACACAAGCACATACAGACCTCTTCTTTTAAAACATTTAACTTATTTACTTATTTTTATTTTATGTGCATGAGTGTTATGCCTGCACGTGTGTAAGTGCACCTGTGTCGTGCAATGCCCACAGAGGACAGAGAAGATGTCAGATCCCCTAGAACTGGAGTTACAGACGGTTGTTATCCATCATTTGGGTGCTGGGATTTGAACCCGGGTCTTTTGCTCTTAACCACCGAGTCAATGCTCTTAACTACTGAGCCATCTCTCCAGCTCCACAGACTTCTTTTTAAATTTGAAATACTTCGCTTTTCTTTTTAAATTTGTGTGTGTGTGTGTGTGTGTGTGTGTGTGTGTGTGTTCAGTTGTGTGGGCCTGTGTGCCATAGTGCATATGTAGTAGTCAGAGGAGAATGCATAGGAGTCAGCTTTCTCTTCTTCTCCCGCCATGTGGATTCTGGAGGTCAAACTCAGGTCAGGGCCCTTACCTGCTGAGCCATCTCACCAGCCCTTAAATTTAATTTTAAATGCAAATTAGTGTATTGAAAACCTCAAAGCTAGCCGGGCAGATCTCTGTGAGATCGAGGCCAGCCTGGTCTACATAGTGAGTTCCAGGTCAGCTGGGGCTACAGGGAGACCCTGTCTCTAAGAACAAAAGCAGGGACAGCAGCAACAGCAACAAAACCCGAAGCAGGCGGTGGCCCATGCCTGTAGTTCTGCACCGGAGGTCCCAGAGTTCATCCTTGGCTGCATACTGAGTTCAAGGCAGCCCAGGTACACGAGAGAGACCCTGCCTACATCATACTAACACCAATACTAATAAAATCAAGGCTGGAGAGATGGCTCAGTGGTTAAGAACGCTTGCTGCTCTTGCAGAGGACCCAAGTTTAGTTCCTAGCATCCACATCAGGCAGCTTACAACTATCTGTAACTCCTGTTCATGAATTCTGACATGTACGTGCACATGTGCATATACACATACGTACACATTTAAAAAATGAAGAAAAAACAAAACAAAACAACCAAACCTCAAGAAAACAAGTTCATCTCCTTTAACTGGAAAAAAATCACTATTTCATTTCAAAAACTGGAAGGAATGAACTTCCAGCGTGCAGGTGCTGTTATACCTGCCTGAAGATTGAAGTCACAGCGGTAGGAAGGCTTAATGTTACTGTGCCCACAGTCAGGAAGAAAAGATCCCACAATTCTCTCATCTCCAGGCTCCCGCCCTTTATCATCTCCATGGGAGGAGTAGAGCCCTCTCCCTTCAATGTGAGCTGGGTTCCCACCCTTCAAAGCAGTCTCAGATGCCAGATGTCTGAGCACCGCTGGAAGTGTCCATGCCCCTGGATGTGCAGTACTCATGGGGTCAGGCCTCTGGCGTTGCCTCTCAGGACTGAGCCAGCACCAGTGCTGTGGCCGGCCCCAGCTGTCTGTCTTTGGTTCATCTGTATTGGAGATGAGGGTCTGAGGCAGACATCTGATCACTCTGTTCACGGCAACTCAGCTACCAAATATGGTAGGAAAAGCAGACATTCCACAGTTTTTTATAACTGAGAGAAAGAGGTTTTATGAGTGTTCACTGTATATTAGTTTGATATCAGTAATTAGTGATACTTTTTGTCTTATGGCCAAATATTATGTGAAAATGATGATTACCTGAGAGTCTGGCATGTGGGCCGAGGCGAACACGTGCTGTGGGCCAAGGCGAGCACAGCTGACCTTCCTGCTGCTGTTTGGCCTGGGGCCTGCTGTGTTCAGGTGGAGCTGGTGCTCTCTTAGAAGATGATGTATGTGATGCTTAGGGTGTGAATATGAAAAATCAGTGTGTTAGGAAGCTAGTATTTCGTGGGTTTGTGGTGATCTTTGCTATTTTAGTAATGCCTTCATATCTTATCTCCCTCTTAAAATGGTTTACAAATACTCACCCTGTTAGAAGGGCCAAATCTTTTGTCTAGAAGTTAGACACATCAGAGAAAAGCCCAAGAGAATTGGGAAGGTGGTCCTTGCAGCTTAGGGGGCTCCATCCGCATGATGAGAGGGCACATCTGCAGCCAAGAGGTTCACTGCCATGCCCTCTGTCTCCTTGGGGCTTTGCAGTACAGAAGTCATGAGGTGCCATAGGGTGAAACCAGCCACCAGGATCCCTCCACCTGTGTCTCTACAGACAAGCTGGACAGGCGCTAGGCCCTTGGCTTCTGATGCCTACAGAGGGGCAGTGAGGGGGGCCTAGGACCCATCACTGCTGTGAACACATGGACTTTGGGTACTAGCCCTGCTGGTGGTGGGCTACAGACAGCAGTGCCTATGGCTCCTCCTGGCACCTCACATGTGTCTCAGTGGCTCAAGAAGGCAGCAGAGAGACTCTAGACCCTGAGCCACACTGGGCTTCTGGTGGCACAGCTGCTAGGGTCCTTGTGTCACTTCTCAGTATGACGGATGGGACATTTCTGGAGTGCTTAGTACCTGCTGTAATGTAGTACTGGATCACCTTCACTGTCAATGCCCTCGGGATCATGTGTTCCACACCATGGATGAAGGCCTGAGGCCGAATCTCACCTGCTGTTTCACAGGCACCTGGGATTTGGATCCAGGATGTTGGGAATGCAGTCCTCTGTGCTTGCCCACATTGCTGATTTTTAACGTGGAGGGGATTTATAGTTGTCTAACAATTTGTGGACAAAGCCTCTCCTGTTTAGAGGCGGACATAACTACTGATTTTACTGTTCTCCCAGACAGCATTATCCTTTGCAAATGAACTATCCTCTGCAGTTTCCCGTGTTCCTAATGAAAACATCATTTAGATTGTGTATAGAGAGTCAGGTTATTGGAGTCATTTACAATTTTAAATATTAATAGAACTGCAGATGTAGTCATTTAAAAAAACCTCTGGTTCTGAGCTTCCTGAGTGGGAGCCGGTAAATGCTGGTTAGTGCCCAGAGGGGCGGGTGGGCTGGCGGTGCCGGCAGGAATCTCCTGTGTATGGTGGCTCTTGGCTGTGGTTACTGACATGGGCTGTCCTGCCTCTTCCTCTCCAGGCAGAAGGTTATGTAATTGGAAGCTGCATCAAACACATCCCCATAGCAGGCAGAGATATTACGTATTTCATTCAACAGCTGCTAAGGGAGAGGGAGGTAGGCATCCCTCCTGAGCAGTCACTGGAGACCGCAAAAGCCATCAAGGTAAAAACATGGGGAACCTGGCCGGTTTGGGGGTGAGAGAGAAATGGTGCCTGGATGGTCCCCTCGGTGCCATCATCCCTTCCTGCTTCCCTCTTCTCCCTCCCAAGAGAGTGGGCCTTGATGGGCCAGGGAGTGCAGTGGGCTGAGGTTAAACCTCCTCTTCCTTACACAGACCCTCTGTGGAGGTTCCAGCTCCAAACTGGTATTGAGCCACCAGTGTGTGTAGTAGAGCATCAATTAATTGAAGCCTAATTAAACAGAACCTTCAGTTAGCCACTTGCTGCATTTATGTCTCTCCATGCTTCCCTTAGGTATCAGGAGGCAAATCACAGTAGCAATGGTGGCTGTCAGGAACCCAGTGGTATCTGCTTGCCTTCATTCCCTGAGAATACACCTCAGAACCATGCCGGTCTAGGACGCAGAGTCATTAACAGCACCCACCTGTGTGTCTCTGGACTTCTGTTGGTGCACTGGACTAGTTATAGGAAGTTGGAGAATTTAATAGCAACAGAAACAAAATGGCTCATTGGCCTTTATTTGGAATGTCCATTGGTCTTTGCATTGCTCTGTGCACAGCAGTTACAGACCCTTTTAAAGGAACTTTTTGAGTTTGCAAAAATCAAAACACAGCAACAAAAATCAAAAGGCAAGAGATTCCTCGCGGTCCATGGCTGATGATCGTCTAGAGATGAGGAGGAAAGGTTCTGTTTGGATTTGGAGAATCTGAGGTGGAGTGCTGTCCTGAGGTGTGCCAAGACTTGCCGCGGTCCCCGCCTTTGCTTGCCCTTCTTCAGTGGCAGCAGGTGGATATTTGCTCCAAGCTTCTTTGCTGCCCCAACCAAAATGGAGCCTGCTGCCTCCTTTGCCTAGGGTTGCTCCAGGAGTGTATGTTCCTGAGAGGCACCACCAGGGGGGCCTTTCCTGAGCCTTGTGCTGCACACTCACTTTGCTCCTTGGGCTGGCTGGGTGGGTTCCAAGTGTGAGCCTCTGTGATGACAGGCTCTCTGGTATTGACCCCTTTGCACATCTGTGATGATCAGGCGTGAACAGATCCCTTCTGCAGACTCCTCAACCACTGTGCTCTGGGCACAGTCAGCCTTCACCCCACTTCTGCCTATGAAGGAAGAGACCCTAGGAGGGGTGGCTTAGAGTCACCCCTACTCCATGTCCCCACCAAACCTCCTGTGGTCACAAGCAGACCAGAGGGAGTGCACAAGCTCAACACGCCTTCATTGCACAAGTCCAGAGCCTCATGGTGAATGAGCACTGATGCTTGCACCTACACTGTGTGCCACCAGTTTAGTGAGTTGAGATGTCAAAGGACACTGGCTACGTTTCTTGAGGACAGTTGAGTGTCTTGGTCTCTAGTTCCAATAGGCTTAGAGTTGCCGACTGTGCCCCTCTCGCTGCCTTCATTCAGGGAACTTGGAGTTATGTACTAGTTCCCACCCCATAGACAAATAGGGTATCAGAGGTACCCAGAAGACAGTGTTAGAAGACACTTTCATAGGAAAATACACATGGAAGTCCTTGAGTGAACCACTTCTCCCAAAGTGTGTGTAGTAAGTCCTTGCTGGGTGCCCATGCTGCAGGCTCAGAGAGGACTCCTGGCTCTTGCCTACAGGAAGCTAGTGCTGACCCAGGCATCACCTGCTCTTGTCCAAAGGATCATCACAAAGATCCCCAGGAATGTCAGTATTGCCCCAGGCTGTGCAGACACTTGCCCTGCTGCAGGTGGAAACCGTTCTCAAGGCTGTTGAAGCAGCCACCTGCTGGCCACCTGTCAGCCACCAGCTGCCACCCCAGCCCTCCTGCCTGGCTTGCTTTTGTTCTGTGGTACCTGCTACCTTATACGATGTCACCATTTCCTTTGCTGACTTTTTTCAGTTGCCGGGCATCTGACTCTCAGTAGGAATACCTTTGGCAGAGATCTGAGTAGTTAATCATTTGTGTCTCTCCAGTGTTGTTCAAGGGACTTACAATACCTGGCCAACCAGGTGTGCTCTCAGGTACACAGAGCTGGGGGAGTCCTCTGCAGGCAAAGGTCTCATGGTGGCTGGAGTCACTCCCTAGCACGACACACCCCAGGGCTAGGTTGCAGATGGTCACTGCACTCTAGAGTAGGCCAGGTGTAGTTTGCGGCCCCAGGGCAGCAGTTAGGCGCCTGGACAGGCCCTAGAGAGCAAGCCTGAGGGAGCAAACAAGGCTGAGTGGAGGCAAGGTCAGGTGCTTTATAGTCTACGGCAGGCAACAGAATTAGTGAGAAGACGGCTGTGAGTAAGAGCCACGTTGTGGAGGAAGTGGGCTAACCTGGTCAAAGTTCAAGCATAGTCATGTCTAAGCTGAAAGAGGAGGTTGATAGCCCAGCCCCGTGGGAGTGTGGGCAGATAGGAATTCAGAGGTGTCTGTAATGTGTGGGTTCCTGTGTGTGTATCAGAGGGCAGAGACAGGCGGTTATTAATGCTTCGCGATGTCTTTTTGTGTACATGCAGGAGAAATATTGTTACATTTGCCCTGATATAGTCAAGGAATTTGCTAAGTATGACATGGATCCCCGGAAGTGGATCAAGCAGTACACGGGCATCAATGCGATCAATCAGAAGAGGTTCGGTATAGATGTTGGTTATGAAAGGTTCCTGGGACCGGAAATATTCTTCCACCCTGAGGTGAGCAGGTTCTCCTTGTGCATGGAGTGCTTTTGTGTGGAGCGGTGCTGCCCCCCAGTGTGCACAAAGGGCAGTTCTCAGTAAAGGACCAATGGCCGTTCCTCATGGTGGCTCCCCCTGCATCTGCCTGGTCTGCCTGACCATAGACTTACCTGCTTCAGTAGTTAAGGTGGATTATCCCTGAGAGGTGAGGAAGAACTTTCAGGAGCAACAGAAGATGATGGGATTGAAGCTGACGGAGCACTGTGTGTGCTACTGTGACCGTGGCTGATCTCAAGGATGTGTCCGGGTAGCCCCTGCATGAAAGTGGGGTGGAGGCAGAGCCTTTCCAGCCTTGTGACTGTCCATCCTGGAACCAGTGAATGCCCAGCTGGTGAATAACTGCAATTGCCTCCTTCCCCTGAGACTATCGTACATTGAAGTTTTTCTTGTGTTTTTTTTTAAAAAATATATTATTATTTTTTTATGTGCATGAGTATATTGCCTACATGTATGTAAGTGCATCCATGTTGGCAACACCCACGAGGTCAGAAGTAGCCGTCAGATCCCCTGGAACTGGAGTTACAGACGGTTGTTAGCTGCCATGTGGGTGCTGGGAATTGAACCCAGGTCCTCTGCAGGAGCAGCCAGTGCTCTTAACCACTGAGCCATCTCTCCAGCCCCGCTTTTCTTGTTTTTAAAAGCATATAAATCTCATATGTGATCCAGCTGAATTTTTCATACGTTAGCTCATTTAACTCATGCAATTGTATCCAAGGGTTGTTTGCTCAATGTCATGATGGCATGGATTGTTTATTTTAAAGCTACCACCATCAGCAAAGCTAAGCTTGTGTAATTTTTCAATGACCACATTGTTTTCCCCTATAGCCTGGCTAATGTTTCCATGGTATTAGCACTCACATGTGTTTCTTGCTGCACGTGTGGCGTGTGTGCGTGCTTTTCCCTTTCTCTTGGTGAAATGACTCACTGTGTGCTCCTCATGCAGGGTGGGCCTGTCCGTGTGACTGGCAAATACTTTTCTTTCCCTAAACCCACATTTCATGTTAACATTACTCCATGCACACATCGGTCAGCTGTGTGCAGGTCCTTAGACATACTTTCATTCTAGTGTGATTTGCGTATTTGTTAGTTATTTTTAAGGAATATTTTTGAGGGGCCTGTTTGAAAGATGGCTCCGTGGTTAAGTTCCAGCACCCATTCCTGTTGGGTGGTTCACAACTGCCTGTAACTCCAACTCCAGGGGATCTGGTGCCCTCTTCTGGCCTCTACAGGCTTTGCACGTATGCGTGTACACCCCCCCCCACATATGCATGTAATTAAAAATAAAAGTAAAATCTTAAAAAATATGGTTTGAAAGTAATTTGTGCTATTTGAGAGTAATGTCTAATTTTTCTCTTATATTCACGTAACATTCAGTTTGCCAACCCGGACTTCATGGAGTCCATCTCCGACGTTGTTGATGGAGTCATACAGAACTGTCCTATAGACGTGCGTCGTCCGCTCTATAAGGTATAGCCACTTGGGTAAGGTACTTTGACTTTATTCCCAAACTGAAGGCCTGCAGTTCTTAGCGGCTGATGGAATGGGCAGACATTCCTGTCTCTCCCATTCTATGGAATTCTTTCCAGGCAGTGTGACCGTGAGATGTGAATAACATGAAGAGGAGGGTGTAAATAAATGTTCGGGAATATGCAGTTAACTGGAGGGAATACTGCATTTCCTCCTCCTCTTCCTTTTCCTGCCTCCCTCCTTCCTCTTCTTCTTGAGGTAGCCCAGGCTGGCCTGAATGACTTGGAGCGTGTGACTCTCTTGCCTCCACCTCCTAGTGCTGGGACCACAGGCCTGCACCACCACGCCCAGCTTATGTGGTCTTTTTTTCTCTGCAGAACAGTATTTGAAGTGGTCTTAGCCATATGTGTGGATTAAAATGTGAAGGTGTTGCCCTCAGGTTTCTGGAAACTGATCTTGTTCCATGCCGATGAGTCGTCGTTGATGTGGTGTGGAGACAAGACCCTGAAGCAAGACGGTCAGATCGTGTGTGCTCCTATAATTTTTTTTTTTCAGAATTCTTTGATTGTCTGGAATTGTAAAACTTGAAATGAGAAGAATCCAGTAGTTACTTCAGAGAAGGAAATATTGCTGACAGTCAGCTAGCGAGAGCAGCCATTCTTCATCCTCAGCCACCTTCGCAGGGGTGTGTCAAGCCTTTGGCTATCCCCTTACACTGTGCAAACTTAGGCAGCTGAATTTTGAACAGGAGAGAAAGAGGCTTAGCAACAATGATGCAATGAACATTGTTCTCTTTTTATAGTGGGATACGATGTAACTTTTTAAAAGAATGAGGTCCATAAACATGAATTCAGGAGAAAAATCTGGGGAGGGGTAAGAGTTCAAGTGAAAACCAGCTTGTAAAATTTACGTATAATTAATGTGAAGGAGACTTTATATTTGGAATGATAGATAAGAAATACTTAAATGTTACCACTGGTGGCAGGGTGGTGAGTAACTTACACCTTTTCCTTTTGGTATTTCAAAATTGTTTGGCATTTTATAGTTAATATGATCTCTATAATTGGAAATTTTTCCCTATAGAGACCACTTTATGAGTAAAAAAATTACGATTCTATTTTTATTTGTTTCATGCCTTTAATTAAACCTCTTCCTCCAATAAAGAGTAGTAGGAAAGGGGGACTGCAAGGAGACTGAGTAGTGACAAGACTGCGCTCCTGGGAAAGGCCCAAAGCACCAGGTGGATGCGAGGACCTTGAACTTAGGCTTTCCTTTAGGGCTGTTACTTTTATTGCAGGGAAATTTCATAACCTCATTGATTTAAAATGGTAAGCTTGAGCAGGCCCGAACAAGATCAGACTGTCTTTGCTTTTTCTGTTCCATGTCCAAAGTCTCCGGAATGAATCTCCACTTCACCTGGCAGTTCTGCTGTGATGCTGTTTTCAGCTTTGGAATTTTTTATTTTATTTTATTTTTATTTTTTGGTCTTTTTGAGACAGGGCCTCCCTGTCACCCCAGCTGTCCTGGAACCCACTATGTAGACCAGGCTGGCCTTGAACTCACAGAGATCCTCCTGCCTCTGCCTCCCAAGTGCTGGGATTAAAGGCATTTTAAGCTATTAAGTAGCACTGCAGAATGTGCTAACCATGAACTCAAGAAAGCTTTCCGAACAAGCAGACAAGGAATGAATGAGAAAAGCCCGTGCCTCCGCAGGTACTCGGTCACATGCCTTCAGTCGATTATGTCAGAGGCACGTTGGCCCAGCAGACGAGCATGCGGTCCAGTGTCAGGTTTGCTGGCCTGGGAAAGCACTGGAGAGTGGAGGGGAATGTGGCATATGAAGAGAAGGACGGTGAGCCTGGGGCTGGGGGTGGGGCAGGAGGGGTGGGATCGGCTCCTGCTACTCTTTGGCTTCTGTCCTTCTCTTCACCGTGATTCTCTTCAGATTCCACCTTAAGTTTTTTCATTGTTTTTTTTTTTTTTGGCGCCCAGGGTCTAACACTGTAGCTTAGCCTGGCCTGGAACTCAGTATGTGGCCCAATCCAACCTCAAACTCATGAGGCTTTCCCTGCCTCAGCCTCCTGTGCTGTAGAATTATATGTGATTTACAGCGGGCCACCAAGCCTGGCTTCCATGTGCTTGTCAGACACTGCTGGTTCACTATCCTTTAACCACCTCAAGAGCTGGACGGAGTTTCCTGCTCAGCTGTCCTTAACACTGCTTTCCTCCTGGGCACCTAGCTAGGAGTGCTTGGGTGCATCAAAGGTGTGTGCAAGGCAGTAAATCTACTGTCTCTTGACACCAGGAGATTACATGTGCTACTAGTATGTGATACTGATGTGTGTGTGTGTGTGTGTGTGTGCGCGCACATGCATGTGCATGCTGAGGAGCAAACACGGTGACTTACATCCCTAACCTTTGGTTTTTCTATATAGGCTAGGCTTGAACTTGTGGTTCTCTGTCTTAGCCTCCTGTGTCCTGGGGTCACAGGAGTGCACCACCATGCCCCAGAGCCATTCCTACAGTGGGCATATATACAGAGTAGAAAAGGAATATGGCCATCTACTGTAATCACGTAGGGTAGCTACAGATGTGCAGGTCAACAGTTTCCTATGGATCATTTGCTTAAAGGGAGTGAGACCAGAGAGCCATAGTAGAGACTTGGTCTCACAAGAGGTTCTGTTTGGGTAACAACTGGGAAAAGAAGCCTAGTGAGTAGATAGAAGGTATCTATGACTTGCATTTTTCCCTTTTTTATTTATTTACTGGGTGTTGCTATGTAGCCCAGGTTGGCCCTGAACTTGCAATCATTCTGCCTCAGTCTCCTGGGTGCTGGGATTATAGGTGTGGGCCACCATGCATAGAATTTACTAATTTTAAGTCTCAGTTTCCATCAATCTTGAACTGAGAGTCAATGTAATTAAGTTTATAAGCCAGAGGTAATTTCAGATTGAGATTTTTGTGGTTTATTGCTTTCTAGGACCTGTTACTACTGTTCAGGAAGAACCTTGAACTCCCTCCATCTGACAGATTGTACTTGAAATGTTATTAATTGTAGACTTTAAAAACCATTTAATAAATAGCTACAGTGTATTGAGTGCTTGCATGTTGAAGAACCGGATTAGCAATTGTTTACAGCCGTTGTCTGTGGGGGCTGCTGTTTCTGCCCCCGTTTCACAGACAAAACTGAGATGAGCCTTTGCTATTCTAGCCCCTGCCCAGGCACATTCCCATCTCTGCTGTTGTGTGTTGGTGAAGCTTCTGTATGTGGGGAGTCTAGTGGAGGCTTCCAATAGCATTGTGCCTTTTTTAAAAAAAATTATTATTTTAATTTTATGTGTATTCATGTATTGCCTGCATGTAGGTAAGTGCACCCATGTTGTGCAATGCCTGTGGAGGTCAAAAGAGGCTGTCGGATCCCTGGGCCTGGAGTTACGGACAGCTGTTAGCTGCCATGTGGGTGCTGGGATTCGAACCTGGGTCTTCTGCAAGAACAACCAATGTTCTTAACCACTGAGCCATCTCTCCAGCCCCAGCATTGTGTCTTTTAAGCTTGTACTCTTGCTGAAGTTAACGCTCTCCTTGGGAGACTTGCACTGGGTCAGATTATGTAAGTGGTAAGTGGCGGGGGTTGGATTTTGAGCCACTTTTCCATATCTTTGAAAAACATGGGCCACTTTGTCACATCGCACACCATAGTTGAGGTGGTGTGAAGATGGCTTTTCAGCAAAGGAAACCCTGTCCCTGTCCACCTCTCTCTAGGTTAATCATTCCTTCTCTGTGAGTTTATAAAGGTTTTAGCTTGGCCGGCCATTCAGTCTGTTCGGAGTTAACTTGTGCACCTTCGGCTACATTTGTGTTTGTGTGTAAGTAGATGGTCGGTGGCAGGGAGGGAGGGGTACGGAGCCTCCAGGCGACTGCAGCCTTGGGAATGGCTAATGTCAAGTAGAGGTGGGAGGGTGTGCGACATGGAGTTGACCATGCTTTTGGTCTTGTCATGAAGGTAGGAGAGAGAAGGGACAAACACCTGCCCCTCTGGGCCCTCAGACACCTGTGGACTACAATCTGCTGTGGGGACTGAGCCTCTGGACTCAGTGGACCCCTGTGTCCATCTCATGGCTGAGCCAGTGTGGATTGGCAGTAGGTTTGTCCTGTCTGTGGCTCACTCCTGGAAGCTGACATGCCTTGGTCGCTGCTGCAGGGTAGGCAGCCCTCAGGTTGCCTCGGTTCTGTGCCCTGGCAGTGATCGGTGGGCACCAAGCTTCTGCTACAACCACCAAGAAAGGGGAAGATTTCCAAAGCCAGGGGCGTGCTGAGTAAATTGAAGGTTAGCATTGAGACCTGCAGGCACCCGCTTTCTGGTGTTAGTTCACCAGGCGCAGCTGTGAGAGGGGTTTTCTCCTATGGCAATCTCAGACCAGGAGTTGGCCAACTCTTCCTGTAAAGGACCAGATGGTGAATCTTTTTGGCTTTGCGGAGGTCATGTGATCTCTGTTGCATTTCCTCCATCCTCCAGTGCTTCCGTAGATAGCGTGGGAACCACTAGAAGAGGCTGGATTCCTGTAAAACTTTATTTACCCAAACCGGCGGGCAGCTTGCGGTAGGCGGTTGGATAGCCGGTTCCTGCTGGAGTTCCCAGGCCTGTGAGTTATCTAGGCTCTCGTCTGGCTGGTTGCACACATACAAGTGTGTTTATTAGCAGGTCAAGGCCTCCTTTAGAGCAGGCTTTATGGAAGAGTGGGTGCTGAGCTCCTGTCACACTGGGGATTTGTGGCTTTGGCCAGCACTGCCCAGGGGAGAGCCATGGGTTGTTTGGGCAGCTTTTTTGATGATGGTGTTTGGAAGTGGTCAGTCCTTTGCTCAGATGGACTTGCACTGTATAGGATGGAAGAAGGGTTTTGGAGCCAGTGTCTTGGAGCAGTGACACTTCACTGTGCAGGGCACGCCCTATTCTGGGCCCCTTTTCCAGCTCTTTCTCCGAAGTGTGGAATGAACTTGCC